CTCCCCACCCACACCCCCCTCCCCACCTTCCCTCTGAGATCCCTCAGTTTGTTCCAAGCTTCTATGTCTCTCGATCCACTTTATTCATCAGTTTATTTTGTTTATTATATTCCACATATAAGTGAGTTCATCTGGTACTTGTCCTTCTCTGCCTGGCTCATTTCACTTAGCATAATACTCTCTAGTTCCCTCCATGCTGTGCCAAAGGGTAAAAGATCCTTCCCCTTCACAGCCGCATATTTACATGGTGTGAATGTGCCACAGCTTTTTTACCCACTCATCTACTGATGGGCACCTGGGCTGTTTCCAGATCTTGGCTATTGTAAATTGTGCTGCTATGAACATAGGGGTGCATAAGTTTTTTGTGATTGGTGTTTGGGGTTCCTTAGGATATATTCCTAGAAGTGGGATCACTGGGTCAAATGGCAGGTCAATTTTTAATCTTTTGAGGAAACTCCATACTGCTTTAAAATGTCTTCATATTTGTGGTTATACTCATCTTCTCATTTAAGAATGTATTTTTGTTTTAGTCCTTTATATTCTTGATTAGGGGTGTGTGTGTGTGTGTCTGTGTATTTTAGTTTCTTCTTCCAATAACATCTTCTTCTTTATTTGTTGAGTCTACAGGCTTTTGTTTTGTAGTTCATTAATTTCTGGGTTTTTTTTTTTAACATTATTGATTTCTTCCTTCAGTTTCCTTTAGGCTTATTGTTCTTTTTCTAGCTCATTAACTTCAAAGCTCAATTCATTTACTTTTATCTTTAGTTTTAAATTATTTTTATTGAATTTATTGGGGTGACACTGGTCAATAAGATTATATAGGTTTCAGAGGTACAATTGGTTAATAAGATTATATAGGTTTCAGGGGTACAATTCTATAACACATCATCTGTATATTGTACTGTGCGTCCACCACCCCAAGTCAAGTCTCCTTCCGTCACCATTTATTCCCCTTTACCCTCTCCTGCCTCCCCCACCCCCTTCCCTCTGGTAATCACCATGCTGTAGTCTGTGGCTATGATGTTTGTTTTTTTTTGTTGGTTTGTTTGTTTTTGCTTAATCCCTTCAATTCATTTACTTTTAAATCTCACTTGTTTCAGCCAGTCATATCATCTGTACTTTATACCCACCCATGTGGCTGGAATTTTAAAAATAAATTGCATTACTTATATAAAAAGAAAAATAGGGAGGAGAGAGAGAGAGAGGGAGATTACCAGAAGAAAACATTTCAAAAATCAAAATAGTTGACCAGGGCCAGAACTGAGATGAAGCAAGAGGTATTCACTTTGGCTGCAAAATATAAGAGGATGGCAAAAAAACCAAAATGCCAGCAATCAAGACACATAATATTTTGATGCAGTATTTCAGAAAATCCAATTAGAAAGCTATGGTGTGCAGGCTGGCTGCCTACTTTTGTCAATAAAGTATTATTGGAACCAGGGCCAGGATTAGGGTAAAGTGAATGAGGCAAGGTTTAGCAAGTACAGGAGTGAATGTCGCCTTTCTAAACAATCTTAATATTTTGTTTACCATAAATTTTTGTACTAATTTTGATTTCTGAAAATATTGCATTAAAATGTATCTTGATTACTGAGATTTTGGGCACCCTTTAAAGTTTACACCCAGAGTTGCTTTTCTTGCCTCACCCAAGACCAGGGCCCTGTAATTGACTCTTGGTGGCAGTATAATGACTTTTTTCCATTCCTTTACACTTTTCTGCATTTTTGAAAATGTGCACAATAAGCATGAATTACTTTGATCATCAGGAAAGAAATAACTTAAAAAAGACGTCAAGACTCACTCAATGATGTTCCTTGTGGTTTCACCATGGGGCTTGCAGGAAATAAATACTAGTGTTCGGATGGCCCTGCAGTTTCGAATGGCTTGAACCACCCGGTAATCTGAAGGCAGAAAGACATTGCTACTGATATAATTAAACTATCATGATCTGGGTTATCACAAACTCTCAACTGGCCATAACCTAGGATTGGTGAGGCATAGGGGAGAAAAAGGGTTCAGAGCCAGTCCAATGGGGGTGCCCTGAGCATGGTGTGGGGATGGGGCTAAAGCTTGGGGACATGATGGGAACACCCAACTAGTTCTGTAGCAGGAAAGCTATTCATCCTTACGCAGTCCCGCCCGGGCTGGGTTCACCACAGCAACAATGAACTGCTCATCTTCTTTTGACTTTAGCAGCTGTGGCAAAATCTTCTCTGCTCGACCAGCGTGGAATTCACAGTTGGTGATGCCTGCAGAAGAGAGGCCCACATGACATAAATGAAAACTCATGCCCACCAGTGGGGTGCAGGGAGCTTCGACTTTGTAGAAACGTACAGGAGCCAGGGCTCTGCCATCTTCCTTTAGATCTAGCATACCTCTGAGGAACAACGAAAGAAATGCTTTTGGACCTGCTTCATTTATCCAACAGGCTTTCCTTTGTAATATCTCAGTAGGCCTTTCAGCTTGAGGGGCTAGGCAGTGTTACACAACTTCGTGACTCACATAGCACACAAGTACCTATACTAAGAGAACCTTGACTTTTACTCAAGTGCTCTTTCTGTTATTGAAGGTTTTCACAGAGAAACTCTGGAGTTATGTGGTAAGGTGGGGGGACAAAGAGATCTGTTTTCTATATCGCAGTTTGGCAGAACATTTTAGAAGAAAAGGTTCTGTTACTAAAAATAATTTGAAACCTATTGTATTACACTCTGATACCTCATGAGTCTAATGTCAAGAGGCTCTTCTATATTATCCAAAGTTTTGCCAAGTTCCCTTGCTATCACTTAGGCTTATTTCTTCCCTCAGGCTCTTTTTTTGGGGTAGAAAAAAAAAGATCAGATATTGGGATCTCTTTCGGAAAACCATCAGGACCCAACTCTGACCACTCCAGAACGCCCTCTCTTCCTCCTTACAGGTCGTGGATGCAGTAGACGCCCCTTCCCACACAACCCTTTTCATAGCATAGAAACAACTGCAGCTCTTCACTTCTCCCCAGACTGTAAACAGTGTACCATTGAAGGCTGCAGTCCACCTGGCATCCTCTACCGCCTGCTCCACCAACTCAATCCCAAGGACCTGGGAGGTATACTGAGCCAGAGAGAGGCCGATCACACCTGGGGAAATAAGAGAGAATAAAAGGAGGGGATTTTAGGATTTTAAACCAATGAGATTATGCCTGCACCACGACCACCACTGCAGGGCCCCTAGGTACTGGGTGAATGGAGTTTAGGAGCTAAGCAGCATGTAGATTCGGCCCTGGGCTGCCACTTGCCAGTTCCACAGCAGATGTCAAGGAGAATGGTGTTAGAGTTCACTCCACTCAGCTTCCCCACGGTCCGATACAGCATCTCTGCACCAGCAGTGTTAATCTGGAAAAAGGCATCTGGAGAGATGCGGATCTTCAAGCCCAAGAGCTCTTCAAAGATGTGGGGTTCCCCAAACAGGAGCTGGTAGGGGGATTGTTCATGGCTGCAACGGGTCCTGGTGCTGGAAAAGAATAAAAGAAGAAAGCATCTTGGAATGGCAGACCATTCTATCTCTAGTGGTTGGTTGGAGGGGGAGGCCCCAGCATCTCATCTAGGAGATACGGCCTCCAGGGCATGGCCCTGATTGCTCTGTGGGAGTTCCCCTCTCAAAGGATGGAGGTACATGCAGACACTCTATCATCTACAGTCTGGTCTGGGTTCCTAGACTTGGGTGGGGTACGAGGGCCACTTAGCCCAGATCCTCCATAACCAGCAGCCCAGCCTCTGCAATCCCCAACCCAGACTACGGCAAGCCACCTGTCTCTGTGCTTGCTGTTTGGCTCTCCCAGGCTTACCTTTCCTGGAAGTAAAGTGATGTCAAGTCACAGACTGCTCCTGGCCCTTTGATGAAAAACTCCTTTACAGTCTCCTTCTGAACACAGAGCTCCTCCTGCCCACACCACAAAATCAGGAATCAAGCAAAGACTCATCTCTGACAAGTTTTATCTCCTAGCTCCACAGTCATCAGCCCTGCAGTAGTCACACATGAGGGTACATTTCTCAAATTCTATTATAAATAACACTTAACATAAAGCAATGTTCTATAGAACAAAAAGTAAGTTATTTTCACATCTCAGTAGAAGCATCGCTTTCCTTATTGGCTTTTGACAAATCCTATAATATAGACACACATTTTCTCTAGTCTGAGCCCTTTTAATAGTTCTCTAAAGAAAATATGACTTAGGCCAGCTGGTGTGGCTCAGTGGTTGAGCATCGACCCGTGAACCGAGAATCACCAGTTCCATTCCTGGTCAGGGCACATGCCCAGGTTGTGGGCTCAAACCCCAGTGGGGGGTGCAGGAGGCAGCCGATCAATGTTTCTCTCTCATTGCTGTTTCTATCTCTCTCTCTTCCCCCTTTCCCTTCCTCTCTAAAATCAATAAAAACCTATTTAAAAAGGAAAGAAAATGTGAGTTATTCTTGTAAACAGGAGCTAAACTAAGCTTCTGTCCCATCATGAAGAAGCAATAACTTTTCAATTCCCTTCACACTTCTCCGCTTCAAATATCTCAACCATTCACCCAACCACCACCTCAGAGGACATGAGTGCTAGGAGAAAGGAAAGTGCTAGGAAGAGAATGAGCATTATAACTACATCCCTTCTTTGAATTCAGAACTTTTTAAAATTCCTATATCATGCCCGGCCAGGTGTGGCCCAGCAGTTGAGCGTCGACCTGGGATGCAGGAGATCGATTCGATTCCTGGTCAGGGCACATGCCTGGGCTGCAGGCGGCACATGCCCAGTAGGGGGCGTGCAGGAGGCAGCGGATCAATGACTCTCCCACCACTGATGTTTCTATCTCTCTCTCCCTCTCCCTTCCTCTCTCTGAAATCAGTATATATTTTAAAAATAAATAAAATAAAATGCCTACATCACTATAGAGAGCCTAGCCATTAACTTGACACAAGGATGTATCACAATAAACTATGTTGGAGCTATAGAGTTAAAAGGCCAGGAATCAATGACTTGGGTCCAGCCCCAGATTGGCTATTTCCTGGCCCTTTAACCTTGGGTACTTCTATGCCTCCATTACCCCATCTGTGAAATGAGGACGACAATACTTCTTGGTTAAGGTGATCACACAAGTAGAGGAATGTTTTAACATGTTAATGCTTTAAAGCTCCAAGTGCATTACAAGTGTAACGTATTATTTGGGTTATGAAATTCTGACTATATTCTAGTCTCTATTGAATTGTTTTTTGGATTTAGTAGAGCACCTAATAACTTCCATTGGCAAAGTTCTTACAAAAATACTTAGGGGTCCTCCCATGATAATTAACTTGGTAATTAGTCTGGCCTCAGTCTCTGTGGTTTGATTACGCCATCAGCATGGTTAAAAAGTACCCCGAAACTTCCAAAAACCAACTGCAGCATAGTAATAGCAGGGGTTGCTACGGAAGCTGCTCCTGTGAGTCTCACCTGCCTTAATTCCTGGGGATGGAAAGTAATGATGGCCATTGTGTGCCCTTGGCTATTGGTGCGGACTATGAGCTCACGCCAGTGTCCACCTTCATGAAACAGAAGGCAGGGCTCCATTGGGGACTGTCGAAGGAATACTTCGTAGTACTAGGAAGAAAACAGTATTATTACACAGGCAAAACTAACATGTTCCATAGCTTATTATTCATGCTGGGTGATTGTTATGGACTGTATTGTACCCCGCCCCCCCCCCAAAATTCATATATTAAAGGCCTAACCCCAAGTACCTCAGAATGTGACTGTGTTTGGAGACAAGGTCTTTAAAGAGATGATTAAGTTAAATGAGGTCATTAGGGTGGGCCCTAATCTAATATGATCGGTATCTTCATTAAGAAAAAGAAATTTGGATACACAAAGATAAAACAGGATGGATACACAGAGCAAAGATCATGTGAAAAAACAGTGAGAAGATGGCAATCTACAAACCAAGGAGAGAGGCAACAGAAGAAACCAACTTGCCAACACCTTGATCTTGGACATTGCCTTTCGAACTGTGAGAAAATAAATTTCTGTTGTTTAAGCCACCTAGCCCGTGGTATTTTGTTATGGAAACCATAGCAAACTAACACAACGATATAAGAAACATGATCCCTGCCCTTTCACCTTACAGAGGGACACAATCCATTGTATTCCAAACAGTAAGCTGCACAAAGCCTTAAGAGTTGTATCCTTAGTCTGGCACATAATAGTTGCTCAATAATTATTATTGAAAGAAAGCATGAATGAACAGGAAAGGGTTTTTATTTGTATGTACAATCTCAGGTTATTCTATATATAGTATGGAATACAATAATCTTCCATTTCTGTGAACTTCTCCTGGCAGCAATTCCTAACATACTACTCAGCTGCTGTGATTCTATTCCTACCTATAACTTCCTGATACAAACCCATCATTTCTATATTTCTACATATAATCAAGTGCCAACTAGAGCATAGTTTAGTCAGCTCCTTCATTTCCTTCTGGTGAAAAGAAGTCAAATGCAATCCTGATGTAGTCCAACACAAGCCTGTTGCTGCCACAGCAGGACACACTGTCTGATTTACTAGGTCCTTTTGTTTTTGTAATACATGTATTCTAGGTCCACTGTATTTTCAAACAATCCCAAAATTATGCATAGAAGAGGGAGTTATAACAAAAACAGTGCTGCCTTAGAGGGTAAAATCAATTAAGGCTACCTATGATTACTTTTACTATAATTTCACATAAATGCAATATAAGATATGCCTGACTATACTGAACATATTTTTCAAATTGTGAAGTTGCTGATTTAAAATAAAACTGGTTCAATTGTTGTTTACTGGCTGGTGGGCAAAGAATGTTTTTTGGAAGCAAGATTCAAAAGCAAGAGGTCCTGAAAGGATGGGAAACTGAAAAACTGAGTCAGTCCTGGAAGATATTGGGTAAGTAAATATAAAATACAGCTTCTCCGTGGTATAAGCTCAGGCCTCAGCATCATTTATAAAATGGAAACTGAGACTCCTATTCTTGTATGGAAATGCCTAAGTATCAATAGTGAAGGGACCTGTAATCATATTGCAACATATAAACGTGGCAAATCAACACACTGTACACCTGAAACTTACACAATAAAAATAAAATTTTAAAAAACACTCCAGATCTACCAGTTTATAGGAAACATAGGGGACATAGGGAGAATGGTAAGTGACATCATGGGGATTCAATCAGCAAAATACAGAATGTGAGAATCTCCACAGGAAAACAAACCAGTTTCTTCAAAAAGTAAATTACAAAGACAGAAAATAAATTAAGAGGGAGGGGGTACTTATAAATTGAAAGAGACTGAAGAGACATGTTAATTAAACACAATCTGTCTACTCTGACTACTGATTTGAACCAACTAAAAAAACAAACGATTTATGAGATAAATCAGCACAAAATTTGAACATTCACTGGATGCTTGATGATATTATGGGATAAACATTTATTTCTAGGTGTAATAATATAATGGAGTTAGATTTTAAAATTAAGTCCTTTCTTTTAGAACTCACACTCAAGTACATATTTACATTTTATTTGCCTCAAACTAATTTAACGGTGGAAAGTGGATGAGAGTATAGATTAAATAAGATTGGACACATTGATAAGTTTGTTGAAGCCAGTAATGGGTATATTTGGTCTGTTATACCATTCTCTATTTTAATATGTTTGTAATTTTCCATGATATAAAATGAAAGAAAATTTTGTACAATAAAGAAAAATAAAATCATAGTATACCTACTTAGCTCAGGAGTGAATATCTACATAGTCATAACAATATAAGCACTAAATAGTAATTTAACCAAAAACTGTGCTATAAAGATCTAAGACAGGTAGTTTGGGAGAAGAGACAAAATAAGAGAGATTCTTATATGCCATAACTGGAAGTCAACAAATAATATGTAAATTTGATAAATCAGAATATGTCAGAATAATGATAATGTACTATTTAGAAATATGGAACACCAGAAGAAATAGCTACAATAATTGCTACTGTTTCTCGGGAGCAAGACTCAAGAGTAAGGGCGGGCGGGGCAAAGGAGCACCATTTTCCCTTACTAATCTATTAGTATTATTTGACATAAAACTATGTACTTGTATTTCTCTGATAATATTTAAGACTTCCTTTTTAGGTCTTGATGCTCTGGCTGACAGCTCCCGTAAAATTCACATTTTGAGTTAAGCCTCGAGATGATATTTAAACCTCAAATTGGGGCAGATGAGGGTTATTCTATCATCTTAATGGAATGAGATGATACTACCAGTAATAGGGAAAGGGAAACAAAGGTATAAACAAACTGAGAATAGCTCAGCGAGTGCTGTCTGCCTGCCTATCTGATACTATTGTTATTACAATAAGCATCTGGCCTGTATCTGAGTATCTACTGGGTTGGATCTTAGGTCCAGAGCAAATATTGCAGGGAAGAGGAATCTGTCTGGACGGATGTGGGGGGTAGAAATTTGCCCAACAGAAGTTGGAAGGGCTAGAAACTTGGGTAAATATTGCGAAGAGGGAGTCATTCACCAAACACTGGATAAACACCAATTATGTGTTTGAATCTGTGTTAAATGCTAGGCTACAAAGTTAAATAATACACAGCTGCTACCTCCACATCCAGTGTGGGAAGCACCAATGCACAACAATGCAATACGGTATAACAAGTGCTACAACAGCAGATATGCAACGAGATACAGGAGTGCAGAAGAGGGGAATCCCTAATCAGACTGAGGCATTAGATAAGATTTTCTACAGTTTCTGATGCTTTGAAATGAATCTTAAAGCATAAGTAGAAGCCAGGTAGAGAAAACTGAGGGCATTCTAGAAAGAGGACAGCCTTAGGCAGGAGTAAGATAGGCTGGTAGGATAACTCTAGTTCAATACAAATGGAAAGAGGAAAGCATGTGAGGATGTGGCAGAAGATGAGGCTAGGGGCCTTATCACAAAGATCCTTATGGGGAAATGTAAGGAATTTAAAGTCTATTTTAAAAACTATTGGGCAACTGCTGCAGAATTTTAAGAAAGAGAATGGTATGGTCTCATCTGCATTTTAAGGATGGCCCTGGGTGCAGCGTGAATACACTGAGGCAAGGGGCTGGAATCAGTGGAGCCAGTTTGGAAGCGAGACAGGATGGTAGCTTGGAGTAGAGTGGTGGTGATGATGATGGTGGTGGAAATAAAGAGAAGAGGGTGGAATCAAGGTATCATTAGAAAGGAAAACTGACAGGACTTGGAAACTGATTAAATGTGGCTGAGGAGGAAGGGGAATTAAAACAGAGGAGCCTAGGATGACACGTTTCTAGAACATGGTGCTACCATTGAACAAGGTGAGAACAAAAGCAACACATCTGGAAAGGGAAGAAGATAGCTTTAGCTTAAGGGCAGTGGTTCTCAACCAGAGGTGACTGTGCCCTCCAAAAGACATCTAGAGACATTTTTGGTTGTCACAATTAATGGCATGTAGTGGGTAGAGGGCAGGGAAGCTGCTAAACATCCTACAGTGCACCTAACAGCCCCACACAACAAAAAAATTATCCAACCCCAAATGCCAATATTGTGGAGGTTGAGAAACATCGATCTAAAGCAATGCTGATTTGAAGAGCTCTGCAGGAGAGCTAGGTGAGGACATTTAGTAGCCTTTTGGAAATGCAGCTCCTGAAGCTCAAGAGGGAGCCGGAATGCAAATCCAGTTGACCCTTGAACACAGGTTTGAACTGCATGGGTCCACTTATAGTCAGGTTTTCTTCAATAAATATATTAGAAAATTGGGGGAGATTTGCAACAATTTGAAAAAACTCAGTTTATGATTTTTAAAACTAACTTTTTCTCTAGCTTACTTTATTGTAAGAATACAGTATATAATACATACAACATACAAAATGTGCTCATCAACTATTTATGTTATTGGTAAGGCTTCCGGTCAACAGTAGGCTATTAGTAGTTAACTTTGAGAGAGTCAAAATTTCCTCACATTGTCAACTATATAAGTTTAGGAGTTGTCACTTTATAGGTGGTCATTCCAGTCATCAGCTATAGCTGAGTACAATCACTCATGAACATATTCAAAAAGAGGGCCAAGGACAGAACCCTGAGGGACACCAACACTTACAGTGGGAAAGGAGAAGAGGAAAAGATCCCATGAGCAAAACTAAGAAGTAGCCAGTGAGAGAGAAGGAAAACCATCAGAAAATGGTATCACAGAAACCAAACAAAGATAAGAGTTTCAAGGAGGGAAGTGAGAATAATTAGTGCCAATGGCAGAGAAAAGTTGAGCAAGTTAGGACCAGAAAGTTTCCACTGGATTTGGCAAAATAGAGGTCACTGATGACATTGGCAAGATCAAGTTCCACAAAGTGTTGGGGGTAGAAGCAAGAACGATCAGATTTTTAAAAAAGACTGGAGATATTTAACATGTTTATGAATTAAAAGAAAGGAGCAGATAGAGGTGGGGGAAGGAGGTAAAGAAACAGGAGAAAGTGGATATGCAATGAAGGAGCAAGATCCCGAGGAGGAAGGAGATGATTTTGAGACTGTATTTCAAGGAAGGAGAGCATCGGATAGGGAGAGAACCAACAGCCTTTCACTGATAGGAGGGAAGGAGGGATAAGATTTCAGCAAAGGTGGTGGATGATGGTAGGAGGAGCAGCCAAGGGAGTTCTCATCTAATGGCCTTAATCTGCCAGTGAAGAACCAGGAATGGTCATCTGCCAAAAGCAAGGGAAAAGGCGATGGACAGGAAATTTGAGAGGTAAGAGTTTAGAAGAGTCACTGAAGAGAACAGGAGAAGCAGCTAACATGGGCCGTGTAGGAAGGTTTCTGAAGAATGATCTTACCAAGGGAGCTGTGTCCCAGCAGGAAAATCTTGGATGTCACGTGGTGTCCTATCAGAAGGCACCACGCAAGTGTCAGTAACCTGAACCATTAGGAGGGTGGGTGCTAGTAAGAATTAACAGGTAATAAGAATGTTAGCTGGGAGTTCTGTTCAGTCATCGCGAGTAAGGCTTTTGCCTATTTAAGGTCCATGAGGGCAGGCACCATGTCTATTGGAGTCACCTTTCGATTCCCAGCACCAAGCACAGCGCCCGATACATAGTAGGCACTCAATAAATAGTGGGTGCATGAAACAAGAGGAGAGAAAAATGTCTGAGGCCAGCCTCCTGATGCAGACGCCGCCTCACCACCACTCCCACATCTCTCATGATAGACCTCAATTCTGTTCCGCCGAAAACACTAGCCTTCCAAATATTCCAGACACCTGCCACTTGCTACACTGCCCTCAGCAGTACCTGGAGTTCCTAATACTCCCCTCCTATTAAAATTCCTTGGATGTCTGACATTTGCGGTAATGGATGCAATTTTCTCTCCTCCTCTCCGCCCTCCTCGAAACGAAATACTAGCAATGTTCTCTCCACATTAAGAGGTATGCTTTCAGAACAGGGCCCCACCTCCCCTGAAGCAGCTCTATTATTAAAATGTCAGGGAAGCTGCTGTTCCAGGCTGCAATGCCCCGGGTCATCTTCAACCAGCCCTTGTTCCTTATTACCTCGGCCACTTGACTGTGTTTCTCTGGGATGTTTTTCAGATGGTGAGACCGCACACAGACAATGTTTCTGTCTATGGAAAGAAAAATAATGTATACATTTTTTAACCGGAAAGAGTATTTAAAAGAAATGTCTGGCAACTCAAATTTCCTCCTTCAAAGAGGCATAAGCAGAGATGGAGAAGCAAAGTACCTACTTTAAGCTCAAAACCTTTTTTTTTTTTTAGAGAAAATCTGTTTCCTGGTCTAGCCATTAAGAAGCTTATTCTGCCTTGGCCAGCCTGCAGACTGAATGGTCCTGGGTTCAATTCTGGCCAAGGGCATGCACCTCATTTGTAGGCTCGATCTCTGGCCCCAGTCGGGGTGGGACACAGGTGGGAGGGCAACCAATCAAAGCGCCTCTCTCACATCAGTATTTCTCTCTCTCTCTCTCTCTCTCTCTCCCTTCTACTCTTTCTGAAAAGCAATGGAAAAAATATCCTCAAGTGAGGATTAAAAAAAGAAAAAGAAGCTTATTCTTTGGGGTGAAGGGGGTGAGAAGAAATGGAAGAGGGTAGAGCGGGGATAAATGGTGATGAAAAAAAATAAAATAAAATTTAAAAAATAAAATACAAAAGAAGCTTATTCTTAATGGAGCTAGTACACAATATTTTATCTCATGCCACAGATAAGCAATATGACAACATCTACTTTCTATTTGGATTTCAAAGGGGTAATGGGATTTGTTTTTCTGTTACTGAATAATATAACAGTAATGTCATATACTTATTTAATTCTGCACACAGAGGGGAAAAACCCAAGTGCCTGCCCTAATGAACTGCAGTGTTAAGCAAATGGATATTTAACATATATAATATAAAATGATGGTATTTCAAGTGGCCTTTTTGAAAATGGGCAAATGGAAAGTTCACGAATGGGATCTGGGAATGGATACTGGCATTAAGTCTTAGAAATATGCCATTTTCACCCGCCCGGGCGTGGCTCAGCAGTTGAGCGTTGACCTGGGATCCAGGCGATCGGGGTTCGATTCCCGGTCGGGGCACAGGCCCGGGTTGCGGGCTCGATCAATGACTCTCTCATCATTGATGTTTCTATCTCTCTCTCTCCCTCTCCTTTCCTCTCTCTGAAATCAATAAAGATATATTTAAAAAAAAAAGAAATATGCCATTTTCATTTCCTTCACCAACACCTCCCCTATCGATTCTTTTAAGGCAAATTTATCACAGAAGGCTCTAGTTTTCAGGGATATGGGAATGTGAAATAGAAAAGGCAACTCCAATAAGGAGAAGACTGCTTCCAGTACAGAAAGTAGCACAAAATGATGACAATGATGATGATGATGATGATGATGACAAGAGCACCAGCAGCAATATGAACATTTACTAAGCACTTACTAGGTTTTAAGCACTTACTAGGTTTCTCCTTTTAGAGGGAGAAAGGATGAGGGTTGTGGTTCCTGTCACTATGTTATAATGACTACCCACAAAAAAGTATCCGCAATTAACTATGTGATCAAGTTCAGCATCAAAGGCTTCCAAATCGACTTAGCCCTTTAAGGCCACCCACCGTGTTTCCTCCTCCTCTCCACTCCCACTGACACTGTTCTCTGCACCATTCCCTTCCTCTCAGTCCTTGGTTTGTTATTTCTACTAGTCACGACCATCGACTGACCTCTCCAAGTTCCCAGATAGTACCCTACAGTCTTCGGATTGCCATCTGGACCTCGGTTCACAGAGAAGGTGGACTTATTTCGGTAGCCATCGATGACAGGCTAGAGGAGGCAGAAGGGCAGGAAAGGGAAACAGGTCAAATGAAACCAAGGAGGACAACAATACAGGGAATGAGGGAATGTTCTCTGGATAAAGACAAATAAGTGATGCTTGCTTGGAGAGTACGGCATAGGTGAAAGTCTGTGACTGAGATCAAGGCACTCCATAGACACTTCATAGCAGAAAGGAATTCCAATCTGGCCATAAAGCAGGAGTCAGCAAACTTTTTTCAGTAAAGAGCCAGATAGTAAATAATTTTAGGCTTTGCAGGCCACAGGGTTCCCATCACAACTACTCAACTCTGCCGTTGTAGTGTGAAAGCAGCCATAGGCAGTCCCTAAACAAGGAGCTCAGCTGTTCCAATTAAACTTTATTTATAAAATCAAGCAGCAAGACAGACATGGCCTAAGGGCCACAGTTTGCCAACCTCTGCCATAAATTAAATTTTGCCTCTCTGAGGCCTCTTTAGGTTTCCAAAGTTGGGTATTTTCCGAGGAGGTAGTAGTATAGTGGTTGAGAAAGTGGATTTTACATCAGATAGGCCTGAGTGTGAATCTCAGTTCTGGCACATTCTAGATGTGCATCCTTGGGCGAATTACTTAATCTCTCTAAGCATCAAGGTGTTCATCTGTAAACTGAGAGTGCCTACCCCCCAGAGTGATTATGAACAGTAAACAAAACAATAATGCATACTAATCACTTAGCAGAGGGTCTAGTCCCCAGCAACTGACCAAGAGGTGAGGGCTTACAGAAGGTATAATAGGATGGAGAAGACAACTGAGCCCCTCCGATTTGGGTGCAGCTGTTGTCACTTTGACTCCGTTGAACATCTGGAGGTAAGACTCTAGTCTTTGTAAAATCTTCTTCTGAGCTTCAAATTTCACCTGCAAAAGAATATAAGCAATAAAAGAAAAGACTTTTGCAATATCACCTCCAAGAGTGGAAAACAAATAGGATGAGAGAAGGTTGTCCCACAGATACTTGGGTCATGGTCTCAGCAGATAAATCCAGAATGATGGAAAAGCGACTGACCTAATATGGTATTGGGGAAAGGTCAAGAGTGAGCTCTTGTGTAAGCTTGTCATTTTATCTGAACTTTCAGACTGAACACTCAAGCCTCATGTCAGTGCTGGACAGAACTTGCTGTGGTAACAGAAATGTTCCATTCTGGTATTATGTTCTACGTAATATGACAGCCACTAGCCACATGTGCTACTGAGCACTTGCAATGTGACTCATGTGACTGAGGAACTAAATTCTTAATCTTATTTAAGTTTAATCAATTTAAGACAGTCAGCTCTGCTATACCACGAAATAAGCGTTCCTACACCATACTATGCAAAATCACACAAAAGAAATCACAGGGCTCATGGGAAAAATAGGGTTGAGCACACATATTCCAAAACTTTATCAGTAATACACACAGAAAAGATAGGAACCTCACAAAAAGAATAGTATGGTTTTACATGTGAAATGGTAATAAAATGGATAAACACTACAATGAGGATGGCACTTGGCCCCGACAAAGACCTGAAGTTTGCTTGTGGAAGTACCTCTCCACTTGTGGGTTATCATGAGGTGGTGGAAGGAGGCCATGTGAATAGGATGGGAATTTCTAAGAGCGGATGTGGATGGGTGTGGCTCACAGCACGATCATCGAACTAAGAGAGCAGCAGATGTCTGTGGTCTGCGCATATGTTCATTTCATGGATTCTCATGCAACTCAGTTCAGCTGAGTGCAGTTTCCTTCTTTCATCTGGTATTTCTCGGGGACAAAATCACTCTTAAGCAAATGTGAAATCTGTATTATGTTCAAATTGCTTCCTAATACATCAATGCATTGGAACAGATTCCCATTTTCAAAACAAGCATTATTATAGTAGGATTGACCGTATTTAAATTTCAATAGCCACATGTAGCTAAAACTGTAAGAATAGCAAAAATGAAAGGAAGAAGGGAAACGGGCATTTATATATGGCTCTAGAGTTTGGAAGACATAATTGGCCTCAGGTTAAAATTTCAGAGGTGTTAGCATACTCAGTTTAAGGACTCCTTGGGGTATCTGGGTAGAACTGTCCAGTGAAACTTCTTACAGGTCTGACACCACTCGCCTGATGGAACAAAGGAGTGGACACAGGCTGGGTACCAACCTTGAGCTGTTCTTCATAGCTCAGCCTCCAGAGTGGTGTCACAACATCGGCCAGCCTCAAAGAAAATAATTCAGGCACTTAGTTCATCATATAAGTGTGTACTAAGAAACCACATTATACATAAGTACTTCCTGCCACCACTTTCTTTGGCATTTTTCTTATTACTCAAAAGACTTAACTCGCATGCCCCTGGGGAGATAAAGTCTGGGAGAAGAGCCCATTTTGGTGCTGTCTACTTAACAAAACAGAACAGATGGGCAAACCTAATATAAGAAAAATCCAGATTTATCAGGAGGTAATTAGTCATATTACAAAAGGCTTCACTGTTGGGTTCCTTTATCTATTCCATCTCCCTAATGCTTTTAAAATGCAATTTGATTTAGAAAATACATTTGTTGCATAAGGTAAGGTATATCTGTGTTTGCATGGCTGCAATGGGACTATTCATTTGTAGTCCATCTAATCTCTCTCTGGGTCTCGAGTTTTCAGTACACCTGGCCTGGACCTTTTTAGATACAAGGTCCCAGTTTAATATCTCCTTTCTGCGAAAACCACACTTAAAGGCAAGGAGAATTTAAAAAAAAATTTTTTTTTGTTAATCCTCACCTGAGGATATTCTTTCCATTGATCATCAGAGAGAGTGAAAGGGAGGGAGGGAGGGAGGGGGAGAGAAAGAGAGAAAGAGAGAAACATGAATGTGTCACATCGATTGGTTGCCTCCCGCATGCACCCTGACCAGGGCCGGGTATGTGCCCTGGTCATACCCAGGTATGTGCCCTTGACCGGGAATTAAACCCAAAACCCTTGGTGTGCAGGCCAACACTCCAAGCATTGAGCCATGCTGGCCAGGGCAAGGCAGGGAGAATATTTTCTGCAATCTCAAAGCATTTCCCACAATATTCCTAGGATGTCAAGTTCACTCTGGGTATCCTACCTGAGGCACCCCTTCGAATCTTTGTCATGCCACATTAGTTACATCAGGAATATAGAATTTCAGTAGGCCCAGAGATTCAGACTTGCTAAGGGGAAAGAACATCAGCCTGGGTCTTACCTTTCCTGCCAGGAACCATCTAGTGGTCCAAGATGGCTTGGTTTCTTCTGGCTTTTCTGTCCTCTTTGATACTTCTTGGCGATTACATGAGTAAAGGTTCCCTTACATGCTGAGTCCAAGAAGAGTTGTGACCAACCTGGAGGTTTTCTAGAACACCAGGGGAGCAATCCTGGTTTGGAGAAGAGACCCACTCTGGAGAGGATGCATCTCGGGTTGTGCATTGAGACTCTTGTCTTAATACCTGCCAAACACAGAAACACTGAGATTCACTTGCATGAAAGGTGGACAAACAGAAGCTGGAAGTGGAGGCACAACTCCCAAACCCCTTCATTCATTTACATTTACAGAAGCTCAGCACCTAGCACAGTGCCTGGCATAGAGTCAACAACACTCAGTAAAAGCAGGCCTACTGAGCAGAAGTGAACTACTGAAGGCTAGGCACTGGCTTAGGCTCCCAAAATAAAAAGGAGGAGCCCTGGCCGGTGTGGCTCAGTTGGTTGAGCATCGCCCCATGAACCAAAAGGTTACCAGTTCAATTCTCGGTCAGGGCACATATACAGGTTGTAAGTTCAATCCCCAGTTGGGGTGCATACGGGAGGCAACCTATCGATGTTCCTCTCTCACATTGATGTTTCTCTCTCTCGCTCTCTCTCTCCCCCCCCTCCCTCTCCCTCCCTCTCTAAAATCAATTTTAAAAGAATTTTTTAAAAAGATAAGGAAACTATAGTCTTTCTCTTCCAGGAAAGAGTTCAACTCTCTGGATACACTTCTATGGCCAGTCCCTCTCCATTTTCTACCCTCCCACCCAACAACCAACAAATCAACTAATACGAAATGCTTACTATATGCAAGGCAGGGTGCCACGCTACATACTGAAAGGGTTATAAAGGTTACAATCTAATTGAGGAGATCAAGTGCAGACCCAGGGAAAGATGATAATATCCTTGGTTCCTGATAAGTGCTCAGGAAAGGCTTCCCAGGAAAGGCATCCCAGGTAGGTCTTGCACCAAGTCTTAAGAGACAGCAGGGAGGTGAATCGGGTGTTTGGAGGACAGTGGCTTAGACTGATTGGGCTAAAACAGTAATTCATCTTCATCTTAGGGAATAGGGGAAATAAGACTAAAAAGTTACATCAAAGTGAGATCTGGAAGAACTTTAATGCCCGAATAAAATATAGACTTTATTGTGAAGTCAATAGTGAGTTGATGGAGGCTTTATGTAGAGAAATAAAGATAAAATAGGGAGCTTAATAAAAAGCAAATTCATGTTTGAAGCATGTGTTTGAAATGGTAGGGAAACAACCAAATGGAAGTGTCTAACACGTAGAGAAGCAGTACTACATGTCAGGAGAGAAGTCAGGGCTAGAGGTTTGGTCAAGTGTCTATAAGAAATACAAGCTGTCATATTTTTTAAAAAAGAGCTTTCAACAGAATAGCAAACGGCCAATGACTAAACCTGGGAGAAAGGCGGTATTTGGGGAGCAAGAGATGCTGGTGACTCAGACTCAGGAGAGTGTATAGCTTAGAAGCCAAGAGAGATGGCTTTCAGGAAGGTACTGACACATTCAATAAGTCTGAGGCCAAAGAAGGAAGGGAAATAAGGCAATGGGAAGTGGCAGGAAGTAGGGACAAAAGACGTTTGAGATCTTAGGTGCCTGGGCAGTCCCCTGGCTGCTCCACTTACTAGCCAGGTGGCCTTTGACAAGTTAATCATTCCCTCTGACCTTCCTTTTTTCATCTGTAAAATGGAAATAACAATAGTAACTATCTCATATAGTGGTTGTACGAGTTAAATAAGGGGTAATTAATAAAAAGGACTCAGCAGAAGATTAAATCAAAATGTTTGTAAAGCTCTGAGCACAGTGCCCAGGACCTAGCCAAAACTCAGTAGGTGTTCATTATAACTGTCATAATGTTTAAAGACAGTATGGGACTGAGTGGCAGTGGCAATATCGAAGGAGGGCATCAGGGAGGAGGAATAGTGGGAGTAAATGAGGGAAAAGCTGAAAGTGTTGGGCAGGGGGAGGGCACTCTGGAAAGAGGAAGGAATCCCTCTTCCTCCAACACAGGACCCTGTGGTTGCCTATTTACCTTATGCTGCCTGATCATTCACTGCTGTGGAACTCTGAGTATCCAGGACACATGAATGGGCTTAACCAAATACCTTACTGACGTGCTGTGAAGCTGCCTTTTTGCCCTTGCCCCCTACCTTGGACTTCATCCCAACGTAAGTCATACCTTAATTCATAATGATATCTATTTAAAAGTCCAATATATGTAATAGATTTATTAACTAAGATTCTTCCATGGCTCCCTCTATCACTGTGAAATTAGTATGCCATGATCACTAGGTAACTTAGAGGATGCTGACACGGGTGCTGTAATATTTCACCCATACACCATTTCTTTAGGTTTACAAAATACTAAAAAAAGTAACTGTCATAATAGGAAAGCACCTAGGGGGCAGAATACGTCAGATTTCTAACAATAAATTTAAGCTGGCCCAGGATTCAGGTGTTATTGATAGTACCCTCCATCCAACTCCCAGGAAGAGGCAAGTTGTTAAGAAGATGGACTTTAGCCCGGTCAGGTGTGGCTCAGTGATTGAGCATAGACCTAGGATCCAGGAGATCACGGTTCGAGCCCGCAACATGCCCGGGTTGCGGGCTTGACCTCCAGTAGGGGGCGTGCAGGAGGCAGCCGATCAATGACTCTCTCATCATTGATGTTTCTCTCTCTCCCTCTCCCTTCCTCTCTGCAACATCAATTAAAAAGAATTTTTTAAACATAAATTTAGCAAGAAAATATT